TTCTGATGTAATAACTCCTGTATCACTTTCTGCTATCCAAATATGCCATTTCTTATAAAGATTGTCTTTAAATGACTTATTAATAGTTACATCAAGTGGTTGACATATACTAGTTAAACCACTTGGAATAATCACTAAATCAATACTATATCATGAAACTTGATTTTAACTGATTCTTCAAGATGTTCTCTAAAAGAATCATATACCATCATTGTTAGAGCATTATTAATTCTTAGATTATCGTTAATAAAATCTACATATTTTTTCATTAAAATAACATTTATCCATCCATTTTACTGAAACCAAACAATAACACCAGATGGAATCTGTTCACTACGAGATAACCATTTTCCTTTAAAAATACAAATTAGTGAAAATTTTGTTCTATCTATAATATAAAAAATTAGATAAGTAAAAAAGCTAAAAAAAAATAAATGTCAAACAATTCTTACCTGCAATACATGTTAAAACAACTGTAAATCGATTTTTCTCATTGTCAATTCTGCGAATATGAATTGTTTTTTCACCTTTATTATCAATAGTAAAGTTTTCTATTATATCAAACTAAATAGAAGTTTCATCTATATTAAGAATATTGGATAACTCAAATATTTTTTCAGTCTTAAGGCAGATGATAAACTGATAAAAGTTTTTTAATAACTTGTCAGTTTGTGATAGAAGCTTTTGTGAAATTTTAGTACACTGGTATTAAGAAAGATTATATTTCTTCATAAATACAAATATCCAACAGTTTGATATTTTAAATTCATTCGTTAAATCTCCATAAAGATTCATCATAGCAGGTTCTTTTAAAATATTTAGTATCTTAACTCGCGCAATTGTATATGAAATACTTAATTCCTGCTTTCTTTACTTAATAATCTAATCATATAATTTTTTTTCAGCTTTTGGGTAAAACATTTTTAACTAGAGCTAACTCGTTTGCTATTTTGATTTAGTTCATTTATTCATTTTTCTTTTGACTTGACCCAGCAACTAACTATACATTTATCAAGTTCAAAAGTATTTGCTGCTTTAATTATTCCATTTCTTTAGCATAAGTGATAACTTGTCTCTTTTGCTTAATGGCATATAAATTGCGATGTTGTTTAACTATTTTTTATTAATAGCACTTAAACGATTTTGCTTTTTTTATTGAGACGGCATTTGTGTAATTTTTAAACTGATTTATTAACGAGCTCGTGATTTATCATTATCACGCATGATTAAATTTAATTGTGATATTATATTATATTTCACAAGCGATCTTTATAATATTTGACATTTAAATGTATAGCTTTCTTACAAATAAACTAGCATTCCTAATTCATGACCGAATAGGTTAAATTTCTTTTTAAATTCAGTTAAATTTTTTATTTTTAAAAGTACCCAAAATTAAACAACCCTTATAACAAAAAAAGGTTATTTAATTTTAGAACAGTACGGTAATCTTATTTTCAATGTTTCGTTCTTTATTATCATTTTTAATTTATTTTCAAATAATATATTAATTTATCCTTATTGGATTTTTACCAAGTTCTTTAAAATGAAAGATTTCTTATATTTTATACAGACGGTTCTCACAAATTTATTTTTTATCACTTGTTTCATATTTAAATTCAGCATTCTATCTAATACATGACTCTTTAAATATAGAATTCACAACTGCTATTCTAGCAGTTTAGACTTATTCTACTAATACTAAAATATTCACCCTTTTTCTAGTTCTTGTAATTAGTCTTTTATCCTCTTCCATTACAATTTATGCTGATATTTTAGTCCTTATTCACACATATAATTATATTATTAAAATAAATGCTTTTCAATATTCTTCACTTATGTTCAAATATCCTTTTATATTTTCTAGTCTCTTATTTTTAAAATTATTAAAGAATGACAAATTATTATTTCACTTTATAAAATTACTGCTCATTCTAATGATCTATATAATTATAAGGCTGATCAATTAGTAAAATCCTCTTTTCTCTCTCCTCCTTTGAATTTATCTTTAGATTCATTAATTATATATCTAAATTTAATCATATATTCATACATCATCCCTTACATTTCTTTTTAAAAGATTATATTAATACTAAATATTTTTCAGATTATTATCATCTTAAACATAATATCAAGTATCAATATTTACAAATAAACTGGATTTTAACCTTTCAATTTATTCAAATTGGATCAGCATTTATCATTTCATTTAATGAAACAAGACGTCATAGTAGAAAACTCAAATTTCTTCTTGAGTAACTTCTAACAGTTCAATTTATGAAAGTCACTCAACCTCAGTTATATCTATCATTCTGAAAATGTTATCATTGTGATAATTATAATGAAGACTTTAATCACCTTTGACTTTGTTCTGATAGCAAACAATATATGCAATTCTTGATCTCTGATTCTATTACTCACCTAAAACTACAATTATTCATTTACACTTCAAAATCTGAATTTGCTAATAATATTAATAATCTATTAAATCCTTCACATCTAATCTGATCATTACGAGCAAACCTACATGACTTTTTTTTATTAACATTATCAAAGTCATTATTCCTACTTTTTTATTATCTACTTTAACTACATTTACCAAATCAGCTTCCATTACTTCATCTATTCTTTCTTTCTTTTTTGATTTTATTTTTGATTAAGCCTACAATAATATATGAAAAACTAGATATAATCTAACGTTAGCCAAAAAAAAATCATTATACATAACCAAGTGACAAAAAAGAGCAACTTCGCTTCCTCCAATATTAACTTTTTATTAATAGTTTTCTAACATACAATTTGCTTCTAACACAGATAATCTAAATCATTTTACTCTAATTAATAGTTCTTACAAATATGGTTGACATTAGTCCCTTTTCTTAGACTGGTGATAATCAGTTATTCTATCATTTCTGTTTATTCAGTTTAGTATTAATGATTGTTCAGTTAATCTTTATAATCAGAATTAGATAGGATAACTGGTTGGTCTGATAGGAGCTAGTTTTTTAGTAATAAATATTAAGCAGCAATTTTTTTTTCTACTTTTGTACCTGTTATAGATGAGGGACGAAACCCCTTAATAACAGTCGAAACTTAGACGAAACTATATTTAAATCATAATAAGGGATACGACGAAACCCATTCGATACGACGAAAGCTGAAACTGTCGAAACTATATTAAAAACATAGAAAAGGGTATGACGAAATTATTTTGAGGAGGTTTCGGCAGGCATCTATAGTACCTGTCTTGGGGTTTTCATGTATATTATACTGAACTTGAATTTTTTTAATAAAATATTGTATTACCATGTTATAAAAAAATAATTACAAGAAAATAAAATTTAGTTTATTGAATTTATCTCATTAAACTCTATTAAATAATTATTTTTATATTTCTGAAATCAATAGATAGTAAGATATATAAATTTAAAATTTTAACTTTTTTTCATAATAATTTATCATATATTTATCTTTAAATATCACTAATTAATTACATTTTTTTTTTGAATTTTTACTTAGAAAACATTATAAAATTTATTATAAAAATATTAATTTTTAAATAAAATAATTTAAAAATATTATAATAATTTTAATTATTAAATAAAATTGCAGGCAAATTTACCTGCAAAACGCTTGAAGGGATAATATATAATATATAGTCAACACTTATTATAACGAATTCTATATTCTAGACCTCAACTTTGTTATAAGGCTATAGTAAATATTTTAAGAGATTTGGTTGAATAATTCGTAATAACAAGAGTATTTTTATTATATTTGTTCAAAAAATTCATAATAACAAGAATATTTTTATTATATTTGTTTAAATAAATCAGAAGAAAATTTATAATAAATAAGCAGGCAAATTTGTTTGCAAACTTTTATAATCTAAAAGATAATAATAAAAATTTTTAAATATTATTAAATAATAAATTTAATTACTGTGGTATAGTATTTTTTTTACTCAAAATCAATTTTTATCTTATAAGATGATTTAATAACTTAACCTCTATATGGGTTCTTTACAATAGAAAGAAAGAAAATCACAAAAAAAATTTTTTTGGTAATTTTCTTTCTTTCTATTATAAAGAGCCTATATGTTTAAAATATTTTTAGTATAATTTTAGTATAATAAAGTATTTATTTGTCTATATTAAACTAATAATTTTTTACTAATGTATGTTACATGGTTACTACTAAATACAATATAAATGGTATTTGTAAAATTATATAATCTTGTAACAAAGTTTTTTCAAATTTTTTTCAATAACTTTTTTTACAACATAATTTGAACAATTTCATCTTAAGAAACCAAATAAGCTGTAAATAATACTGCAAACATATAAGATAAATGCGTGATATTAGATTATTTTTTATCTGCATCTAGCAAGAAACTTTCAGAATCAAAACTAAAGAGATTGGAAAAATCTCAACATCACATACATAATAAGAGAAAATGGGTATATTTGAAATAAAGTGCATTTATTCTTACACTTTTCAGTAAATTGCTTTTAATTTGAAAATAATACCTCATCTGAAACGTAATTTGAGTCTTAAACCTGTACATAAATAGCGCTTAGAATTTTAAAAAATATCAATTGTACAGATTTTCATAATGTAATTATACTTACATAATTTCTATAGATGATTAATTTTTTATCATATTTAATTTATATAGAAAAAGGTGATAAAAGGTTTAAGAGGAGGATTTTATTAACTTAAAATTGGGTTTTTTTAATAATAAAATTCTTTTTATGAATTTAAAAGGGTTGACAACTACGATTTGATTGGCTATTCTTTACATTCTTCGTTTTAAAGGTTATAGTTTGTGTTGTACAAGAAGATCTGGCCAATAAAATCATCAAGACCAAATTTTTTTTTTTGATTATCTCAAAATTTTTCAACCTTCCTTGTTTCTTCGTAAAAATTGCTTTACTAATTGTTAAAATAATAATAATTAGTATTATTCCTTGCCTTTCTGTAATAATAATATAATAGCTATGGTGTCATTCAGTTGTGATTCATGCTCAGATATTATTAAAAAGCCCAAGTTGGTTCAACATACAGCTCGTTGCCCTAGCGCACAATTTACCTGCATTGATTGTTCTACTACCTTCGCTGGTAAAAGTTATTTAAAGCATATTAAGTGTATTTCTGAAGCTGAGAAATATCAAAAAAGTTTATATAAGGGCAATAAAAAGGTATGTTTGTAAAAAACTAGTGTATAAAGATTTCTTTTAAGTGTAAATTACCTTATTAAATCCTTCACAAATAGGGTACACAAGATGAACTTCATAAAACTAAACAACTGAATTCAGATAATAAGTCTCGAGAAGTTTCCGATGAACGAAACGATAATAATAAGAACGACTCCTTGGAAAGTGGAAAACAAGATCAAACTCCTGATTCTACCAAGAATAATCAAGAATCGAAAGATAATTCTCCTTCTAAAAAGAAGAATAAAAATAAAAAGAAACTTCAAGATAATCAACATAAAAATGAAATTGAAGGGGAAAAGGAAGGAGCCAAAGGTGTGTTGATCATTGATTCTGATCACAAAAAAGTTAAAACAGCGGATACAGCTGCAAAGCAGGAAAACGACAATAAAAATGAAGATGGTCCTAGTATTAGCCCAAAAAAGAAGAAGAAGAGGTCTTCCATTAATATTAGCATTAGTGATTTCAAAGTCAAGGATAATGTTACAGGCTTAGATGAAGTAAATGAAGCGCAAATAGTCCAAATTGAAAAGGAAATTGAAACACCAAAGATAGATAGTAATTTCAAAATCGAGAATAAGAAGGATGGTGATGGTGATGCCACGATGGCAGGTATATCGAAGAAAGAATGCAATCTTGATAAAACCGGCAATAAGAAAAAGAAGAGCAGATCTTCCGGTAATATTAATAGTAACGATATCAAAGGCGAGGAAAGTAAAAAGGATAATGATGTTGATGCTATGATGAAAGGTTCAAACGATGTAAATGAAGTACAATCAGCCCAAACCGAGAAGGTAATTAAAACACCAAAGAAAGAAAGTAATACAGTGAAACTTGATAAAAGCAACAATAAGAAAAGGAAGGAAAGGAACGGTAAGAGGGATAGTGATGATGATGCTACGATGACGGATTCAAATGAAGTTAATGAAGTGCAATCAATCCAAACTGAAAAGATTATTGAAACACCAAAGAAAGAAAGCAATACAGAGAAACTTGATAAAAGCAACAATAAGAAAAAGAAGAAGGGAAGGAACAGTTTGACGCACAACAATTCAACTGATAATGTGCAAGATGGCGAAACTAAAAGGGTTTCTATGATTCAAGCTGTATCATCTATTGAAGTATTGAAGAAAGAAATTTCTGATAAAAAAGACAGGAAACGAAAATCTATTGATCCTGTGTTACCCGAAAAAAGTGAACTTGAGACTCCGACAAATAAAAAGCAAAAAACCAAGGATAAGAAAAATGCAAAGTTTGTTCATGAGAAAGATAGCACTCATGATCTAGTCAGCATTCCTGCCGCTATTAAGAAGATCTTCAAAAGCGACGAGGTAATATTTACTTTTATTTTTCCTAAAAAAAAATGTATTTTTATAATTGATAATATTATTCTCATTACTCTTGTTTATTTATTACAAAGCATGATGAGTTAAATCTTAAGCGTCTTGAAGAAATGGTGGTTCGTGAACTGATTCCCAATTCAAATTTATCTGAAAATGAACTAAGGGAAAGTTTTCTAGAGAATATCGTGCTAACTATGAAGGATGGGAACATTATTTTAAAGTGAAAATAATATATACCCAATTCTTTTTTTTACTATTAGTTTTTATTGATTGCGAAAGAATAATGAAGTTAAATAAAGTTCTCTAAAGAATTTTTTTTTTTTAATGAGATTGATTAAATTCTGAATTGACTATACAATCCATTATATTATCTATTTTTTTTTGTATAACCGCCCGATGCTTTTTCTCGATAAAAGTTTAAGAATTCTTTCTTTTCTACTAGACCCAACCCTGTTTTACGAAATCTACCAACTTGTAACATGTAATTTAACACCTGTGAACCTACAATATCATCTGGTGTTGTTGCTGGAATTGAAGGTTGTGCGGTAGGTGCAAAGTATCGAGAAAAAGATGATTCATCGGAAATGAGAGATCTTATTTGAAGTGTGTTAATGAACTAGATTTCAAATGAAGGGAATGAAATTTAATTTTGAATCATATCGATGATTAATTATTATAATAAAATGCTTATCCATTACCTGACTACATAGTCTAATAAAGTGCCAGAATTTATTTCCTACCGTATATGTCGGAGAAAAATTCTCAAAGTCATATCTAAACCAAGATTAAATATTTAAAATATGTAAAATATAATTGAAGTTTTTATAAATTAATTTTTTACCTTACTGTAAATATATGAATTTTAAAGTCATTGACAGGTATCGATACATTTTTAAATATAGGATTGAATTTCAACAGTGCTCTACCGTTAGATGTAGTTCCCTATAAAAAATGAATAAGTTCAATTAAAGTTCGAATTAAATTCGTATCAAGTTCATTACACAAAAATAAGTCAACCTCAGGAAATATAACAATTGGTCTTGATCGCTTCGCCTTAGCATAATTAATCAACTCTTGAAGCGTGAATGTTTCCGTTTCTATTGGTGGGTCAAGATTTGGATACGATCCAGTTGTCCAAATCGCTTTCCATAAGGATATTGGCCGCAAGGTGTTGGTGGCGGGATAATATTGCGTAAAAATAGGATCAAACCTGTTTACAATAAAATCAATTATCAAGTTTGTTTTATCATAATTAAAAGAAAAAAAAAAAATTTCAATCCTCACCTAAAGGTCAGATAAAATATTTCTACATATGATACCCAATTACAAACGATAATATCGCCTGCATCAACACCACCACGTTTATTTGTGCGTTCACGCGCCTTAGGTATCCCTCGGCTATTAAAGGCAAGTTAAAATGGACCCGGTCGATTAGATAAATTTTTTTTTTTTTTAAAAAATAAAAGAAAAAGAAAAACAAAGAGAAACAACATTCATACTTGTATTTACCCTTTTGTTAAAGATGAAACGATTTCCGAGCGAATCCAATAAAACCCCATAAAAAAGAGAATTAAACGCGTTAAAATTGCGCTGAACAGGTAATGGATGATTCTATGAACAGGTTTTATAGGTTTCTAAATAATATAGATCGTTATTAAATATATAATTTTTTTTTTAAAAAAAAAAAAAAAAAAATTTTAAAAAATGATTTTGTATGACTTTACCAAGACCAAGCATATAACGTCAACCAGAAGAAATAACAACAAGGAGGTGACTAATACCAACGATAATTTGAGAATCCCGATAACAGGTTTTAACACATATCCGATTGCAGTAGCAATTTTTGTAACATTGTCCGAATCCTTGCGCGATGGCTTTTATGAAACATGTAACATTTTTCTTTATTGCTTAAACGGTAAAAAAAAAAAACAATAACCCAAACTACTAAAACAATAAAAAAAAAAAAGTACATACAACAGGTGGTAGAAACGGCTGAATTCCCGTACCAGCATCCTAATATTTTTTTCGTTAAATAGTTATATGAATTCGAATTATAGCGAAATAAGAATTCTTGCAACGCTTACCCTCCAAGTTGAGAATTTCTCCATAATTAGAAAAAAAAATAAAATAAAAAGAGTTGTTGATCCAGAAAGAAATGTGACGATTTTAATGATGAACGTTGTGTAACTAAAATAACTAACTGACAAGATCGGAAAAAAGCCTGATTGAATATAGTGTTGCTTTTACTTATTATAAAGGCCGAAGACCGTTCTCGTTAATTACTTTACAATTAGTTTGAAGGTTGTCACACCTTCTTTAATACTTGGTTATCTTCCTTCCTCATCAATAGATAAGAATATTATTGACTCGATGATATCAATCCCTCTACTACAAAAAAAAACAAGATAAAGCCTAAAAGAAAAGTTTAATTTATACACAGGATTCTGTACTTAATAATTATTAAATTCACAAAAATGATAATTATTATAAAGTTGTATCCTAAAAAAATATATGCAGTATGTTATGAACAGTACATTAAATTAACAGAAATCAGAACAAGAAATCTCAATGATTTTAAAATTCCTTGAAAAAAAAAAGAAAGGAACCATTGATTCTCTCTCCCTTTTTTTTTTTTTCATTTAATATTTAATGACTTGATTTAACTGAAAAAGGTTCTTTTGAAACGCGGGACATTCTCATCAATAAGACGCACCATCAATTTCTAATTTGTACAATTTTTTTTTTTTTTTACCTTCACTTTTCTCATCACAAATTTAATGATTATAAATGCGCATTATGATTTAATCAGTGTAAAAAATATAAACAATACGAAATAATATGATTTCGATTTACTGATATCTTTAAGAAAGCGCTTTTTTGTTAATCAAATTATTTTAACCTTTTAATTCAGAAGATAGTGATATTTAATGAAACTATCATAATCCAAACTAGATGTTGGCCGAATTATTCATTTTTTTTTTCTCATATAAAAATACAAAAAAGTTCTTCGATTGAAAAATTCTTGCGTCATATTTTATTTTTTTCAACCGATCAAACAGTTCGTTATTCCCGGATTACTCGAACACGGTATTGATCTGTATAGAAAGCATTATGCATACAACCGTTAAAAGTGACGATGAACGCGTGCAACATGTTAAATGTGCTGAAAAAAGGCCAAGGTACAAAACGTGAGTTTTTACAGTGATAAAAAATGGTTGAAAGTATTTGAACAATAAAAAACACGACTTTAACAATATTTTTTAAAAGATGATTTTTTTTTGTGTTAATCACACTTTGGTTTTTTAATTCTCTCACTTTTTAAATAAAAATGTACACATATATGACTTCATTCTTTGATCCAAGTTTATTCTTTCTCGTTTCTAATGATTAAGGAACAAGCTTGATCCTTTCTAAGCGAGAACATGAAAATGCTTGTAAAACGGTTATCCTTACCGGACCCGAAACTTTATCAGCTCGAGAATTTGTAGCTAGGTTAAATATATCAGTACAAGCAAAATATTCACAGGAAGGGATTTCTCGAGATGAAATCTCTTCTTGAAAGCGCAAACTCATTGTCCTTCAAGTACTGAAGGTGAGGATATTTTTTAACCTGGTAAAGAACAAATTAATGATGCTTATCTTGAGTTTATTTGAACCTAATGATGGGTTGAAGAAAATTATTTTGTGAATTCGAAAGTTACGCGTTTCTATTCTATTGAGTTGGAATACTGTAACACGTTTTCCTTTTCTATTGTATATCGAGAAATTACATAAATGTACGGTATATAATACGCGATATTTCGTCAAAAGTACAGTTAGGATCTTCACTTGTAATTTCACATTCATAGGGGATAAATTTATACGCTCGGACAACATTTTTATTCTAAGAGAGGACTTTGTATTATGCTTTGTTAACATCTTGGAGGGAAGTGAAAAAATGTATTTTATTTGTTGTCTCTTTTAAAAGTAATAATAACTAATTATTGAAAAGATTATTTTATTGAGATAAAAACAATTTCCATTAATTTAAGAACAGATTGAAATGTCAACTACCATTGAACTTTTGGAACTTGACCATGATAACTTTTAATTTTCATTCAAAAGTCTCTAAAAAAAAAAAAATATTTTTAATTGGAGTTACCTGGGAAATCTCCTGAATAGATTAATGTTTGATCTTCTTTGATAATATCGGAGGAACCTGAAATTAGAAATAATAATTAAATAATTTAATAAAATTTACGTAATACGAAAGGTGAAAATGTAATTTATCCTGATTGATGATCACTGCTGCGCCGTAACACAAAATTATTATTATATTACTGATAAGCATATAATAAAAATAATTTTTCCAAAAAAAAAAAAAATTTCTCGAGATAAAAAATTATTTTTAACGAATGACCTTTTTGCGCCTTTAAAACCTTTTGGTGGTGTTTCATAAAAAAAAAAAAAAAAAAAAAAAAAAAAAACTTTTTGAACAAAGAAAATATAATTTATTCACCTTTTGGGTATAGTATGGTAATGATCGAAAAAAAAATTTGTTACACTAATGTGACCCCCAAATTGTGAGAAACTTTTTTTTTCAAACGAACAATGAGATCCTTTATACCACTTTGAAATATTTTATTTTTGCCAATTACTGGCGTAACCAAAATAAAACTTCATCATCAAAAAACGAGAATTATAACGTAATCTCAATAGAGACCATTTAGACCATTTGTGGTTATCATGCGAAAAGGAAATTTTATTTTCCAATTAATTGATTATATTATAATAAAGATGGATGAAATGAAAAAAAAAAAAAAAAAAAGGGAAAAAAAACCATCCCCAAAGAAAGCAGAAAGGAAAGAAAAGATTTTCTTTTTAAGGTTTATCTGATTGCATTGCGGCATGATGTTTGACGATTTTCCTTAACGAGAGTAATTGAGATCAGACGGATGTGTCTATCTATAACTTTTGATCATCAAAAAAAAAAATAAAATCAAAATCAAAAAAAATATTTTGGCCTGCACTACCCAATACAAATTTATAAAAGCCTACCCTTGTGTTACCACCTTGCCACATGCGCCAAAAATATTTTTTATATCTATAGGTTTTATAAGAAAAGACACGATTCCTTCTTCAGTCGGGTTTCTTTCTTCTAACACCTAATAGTATCATTGGCCTGAAATTGAACATAAAAATCTATATTATTTTACCTTTTTACTTTACTTTTTTTCTTGTCCATCTCTATTTTCATTCAACATGACCGATCAAGACACTACTACTACAAGTACCACTAATCCTGAGGTATCAGCCAGCATTCAGTCAGTCCCTGAAACGAATGCTGATGTTAAAAAAGCTGAAGTGAAAACCGAGGAACTTCAAGAGGTTCCCAAAATTGAACCTGAAGTACTTAAAACAGAAGAGCTTAAAAAAGAAGACCCCCCAAAAGAACCTAAAATAGAAGAGGTCAAAAAAGAACAAGTAAAACAGCCAGAGCCGATTAGCGCTGCTATTGTTGCAGAAGAGAAACCAGAAGAGAAACCAGTAGAGAAACCTAAAGAGAATGCTGAAGCAACTAAGAGTGTTGAACCTAAACTTGAAGAAACTAAAGTTGTAGAACCAACCATTGAAGAACAATCCAAAAAGGAACCAGCTAAACCAACCACAAAGGAACCAACTAATGAGGAACCACCTAAACCAACCACGAAGGAACCAACTAATGAGGAACCACCTAAGCCAACCACAAAGGAACCAACTAATGAGGAACCACCTAAACTAACCACAAAGGAACCAACTACAGAGGAACCACCTAAACCAACCACAGAGGAACCACCTAAACCAACCACAGAGGAACCACCTAAACCAACCACAGAGGAACCACCTAAACCAACCACAAAGGAACCAGCTAATGAACCAACTAAAGAAGAACCAAAGAAAGATGAACCAAAACAAGTTGAACAAAATCAAGAACAGAAAGAGGATCCTAAAGTTAATGCAGTAGAAAAGAAAACTGAAGATGAATCAACAAAGGTAGTTGAAGAACCAAGTAAAGCAAGCACTCCTGAATCTAATCCACCCGTTGTTCCACCTAAAGCTGAAGATAAAACCGCTGAAAATGATGCTCCTGAAGTTCCACCTAAAAGTACGGATACTAACGAATCAATTAACAAGCGGAAGAGTTTTGTTAAAAAATTAAAAGATTACTTCTTTAAAAATCCTAAAGATACTAAAGTTTCAGAAAATTAATTTAATAATTTTGTGACATCAATTGTAATTTATTATTATTATATTATTATTATTATTATTATTATTATTTTTTGAAATATTTAGGCTCTCTGAAGGTTCTTAACGCTAATTTTATACTAACATATTTCTCCCTGTATTTCTCCCTTCTCTTTTATTATTATCATTATTTCATTTTATGTATTTAACTTTTTTTATCTTGTATTTTTTTTTTTTTTTTTTTCCTGAATTTTTTTTTGGGGTTGTATTAAATATGGGTGTGTATGTTCCAAGTTATTAAAGAACACTTGTACCATTTAATTCCTATGTGTATATCATGAATCAATTTTACTAGACGTTATACTAAACAGTTTATTGAAATGAACAAATGAATCGATGTTGAATTTATTATCGGTGAAATAAACTGCCGTATATAGAATTTATCTATTGATTTTAAGTTCCTTTAAAATTGGGTTCTATCATGTTCTTTTTTTTTAAAAAAAAAATAAAGTTGTCTATAGAATAAGAATTTGTTTAAAATTTGAAAACACTAATATTGTTTATGACTGTGAGATAGTAAAATTCACTTAATTTACTTACATAAATAAATATCTCTCAATTTATCTAATTTATCTCTAATTTAATTTCTCTTTTTAATATATCCATTAGGATTTCTAAAATTAGATACAGAGAAATGTAAGAAAAGAAATATATAATATATATATATTTTGAAACGGGAAATCTTTATGATCCCCTTGCCATCAAGAGGAGATATATTGAAATCATTGCTACCTCAAAACGAACATTTCACTAATAACGGGAAACAAAAACCGACAAGCATATGAATGATTTGGATGCAAATTGATGTTTTCTTAAATAAATAAATAAAATAAATGTGATAAAAATCATTGGATCATACTTTTCATTGGTTTTTGTTGGTAGCGTATTCTCAATAAGTGCGTTTCCATATTCCCCTATTATTGTTATTCTATATCAAATATTAGGTACAATAATAACTAATATATTACTATTACATTAATGTGAGAGAACGTGGCTGAAATGTCCGGGAACGCGAAGCCGACATTTTTCACAATCTAAACGACGTCCCATGGTAAAAGGTAATTGATGCAATTGTACCTGTCGATGTTGTTGACGCTGACCACGTATTGGTGAGGAATACGTTGATTTCGTTATATCCGCCTCATGGTGTTGAATCTGTTGAATAAATGAAGTTAGTAAACTCTTTTATTAACAAATACATGATGAAAGAATATCCAATTCAATCAGATTCATTAAAGAAAAATCATCTGTACACGTGAAAACTACTTACAATCTCATCATCATCAAACCTCTCTAAATCAATCTGCATGTTATCATAGTCCATGAATCCTACATGCGTTGTTTCTTGAACGGCTAATAATTGTGTTTTATTGCTTAGGTCATTGATAGAATTAGACCGACTGAGCCGATTTTCGTTCCAACAAGAGAATTGTGGATTTGGAAAGGACGAATTTCCTTTAAAACGTGGAGGACTCAAGAGTCGTACGGTTTTCTGTAAGAAAATGTATTAATAGACTCACGTCAGCAAATAATAAACCCTTTTATCTCCATAACTATAAATGTGAGTTTTATACCTGGACATGTTCATTCCTGTTTATGCTATTACTACGAGTTCTTTTACGTCCAGCGTTGGTAGGCGAGTGAATTTGGGAAGTAGTAAAGTTAAAATGATTGTTAACAGCATGATTGGAGTTTGGAAAGTGCATAGTATAATCCATGTTCTACTGATGTACAAGTCTAGTTCTTTCCAAAAAATGAGTGTTGTAAATAGAAAGACAGAACCGGACAAAGTATTGAATTTTTTGAAGGTGGTCTATATTTATAAATTTTCAAAATAATAATTGTATCACGGATGACCAATAAATTACAATGGCACGGGTATTCGTCGAAACACGTGAAAAAACACGCATACTACATAACGTCAACTCGAACGTTGAAATTTGACCGTACACGCGACTTCTGTTAGTTAATAAATTTTGATCCGATTACCCAAATGTATGCAACAACATACGGGTAATTCATGAATTACATTGTGAACTTTTGTTTTTAAAAAGTTTAAGAACTCATCTTTTATCGTGATTGTTGTTTAACCCGTAATCACGTCCGAATAAGGTATTAATATCCTACTATTGAAACATCCACTCCAATGTTTAGTCCATAAGAAAGCATGTAATAAATGTCCACGAAGATCAAGACAAAGAGGTGCAAGATGACTTATTAACTGATAAACGTCACATGATTATAGCATTATAGCCTGACATCACGTGAAAATCAAATGCTCCAATCATGGATTTTTATTTTTTCATTTTTTCCAGACAATAGTCTTGGGCTTTTTGTATTATCTATATCTAAAACATGTAAAAATTCTTTCATATCAAAAAAGATGAATTATAAACCCTAATAGAAAGTAAAATGTAGTTAGTTAATTTTGATCAACCTTATTACCATAAAAAGAATTGAATTTTCGATTTGTTCGGTCAAACTCACATGGCTCAATTTCTTTTATAAAAAAAAGTAAGGGATGTGATTGAGCGCGTGATTATTATGTGACTCTGGATACGTGATCTTATGCGCCAGCGTCAATACTTGATATTTATGATATCACAATACAAATGATTATTCCACTTTTCCAAAAACATCAAGTAGGGAGAATAAAAAAAAAATTTGTATAAATTTCAATGTTTGAACTCCCTTTCTGATTATTACTCTTTTTTTTTCTTTACTGAATGATATTGAAATTCTCTTAAAAATTCATTTAAAAGAACATTAGGTTAATTAAATTGAAAACTAGCCGTAAAGTTAAAAAGGCGATTGCATCAAACCTCCCTATTTCATTATATCACATTAATAAAAAAAAAAAATAAAAAAAATGGTGGGTTGTTCGTTGAAAAATGAAGTTTATGAGAGAAGTGACAACACCCCAAATTTCAATTTCGCCATCGGTATTACCATAGCTGTATCGACCTCGTTTGTTCAATCCCTGGGTCTTACGATACAACGCAAATCTCATATAATAAATGAAAATGTTTATCCAAAAGAACTTAGACGATCTGCTTGTCGACAACCTTTATGGCATTTAGGTTTTGATACTTATATAATTTCAAATATAATTGGAAGTATATTTTCAATTGGTTACCTTCCAATCATTATTTTGGCTCCCTTGGGGGCTGCATCTCTGATTTTTAATGCATTTTTTGCCAAAATACTTTTGGGTGATGTGTTTACAAAGCAGACAATAATAGGTGTGATTCAATTCCTTAAATTTTAAGACCCCCAGTTTTTTTTTGTCCTTTGTTTAATCAATTTTCATTGGCCTTTCATTGCGATCACATGATATGAATCCCACTTTTTAAAATGGTCACCAAATTTGATTTTTTCTTTTATTTCATTTTATTTTTACTTCACAAAATGTGACTAATTTTCATGTTCTAGGGACCATTTTTATCCTAATTGGAGCGATAATGATTGGGTTTTTCGGTGTGGTCAATGAACCGAATCATTCTTTAGAAGATTTGATCGAACTTTATAAACGTCCAGCATTTATAGCTTACTTTTCTATAATTGAGTTTGTGGTAGTTTGTCTATTAATTGCGAATAAATTTGGAGAAGATGTATTGAATCAAATGCTTCTAGGTAAAAGTGATCTTACATTTGGTTGGTCATTGAAAAAATTTCAAATGATTCTCGGAATCTCGTATGGATGCGTTGGTGGTATGATATCAAGTCAGAGTTTATTATTTGCAAAGAGTGGTTTGGAATTATTACTTTTGTCGATTCTTAATTGCGATAACCAATTTAACCAACCATTAAGTTGGTTTATTGTTGTAGCATTGGCTGTCACTGCTTTGTTACAGGTAATCACGTGTGCGTGTGCGTGTGAGTGTCTGATTTCTTTTTCTTACATTTCATTCATGTTTAACCAATTATTTAATAATTTTTCAGCTTTATTACCTTAATAAAGGATTAAAATTATGTGATACCGTTATTTTAATTCCACTTTCATTTTGCACGTATAATGTTTCAACGATCTTTAATGGTCTCGTATATTACAATCAATGGAATCAACTATATTGGTGGCAAATCTTTTTCGTAATATTAGGTATCTGTTTATTATTATGTGGCGTGCTTGTATTATCATGGCGAAGAAGTATTGTACCAGAAGAGGTATTCGTGGTGGGAGAAGATAGTATGCTATTTGAACATAATATTGAAGGTTTCACTGAACTCTATGATGGTGATTTTAATAAACATGCCGAGAATATAAATGATTCTGATCATGGATTTTTGGGAGGTGATTCATCTGTCACGAGGATTTTATCATTTGAAGAGATGTTAGATGATGTTGATGATGTTGATGTAGATGAAAAAACGTCCTTACTGGGTAAGCGCAAACACAAGCGAAATCGTAGATCAGTTTCAATTGGAACAATATCTGGTGATAATTATGGTTTACATAATTAACCTTTTTTTTTTAAAAAAAAAAAAAAACATTATGTAATGTTATCAAATTATATATACAATTATTTATTTATTATATATTTAATATATTTGAAAATAATTCATAGTAACTTGCATGTAATCATTTCAACTTTCTATAAATAAAAAGAATTTACAAACCAATTTTATTAAATATTTCATAAATCACTTTATTTTTTTCATTTTTAATTAAAAAACCTATTTTTTAATATAAAAATTTAGAATATTCTTCTCTCATTTAGCTTTATCTAATATTATTAGTAATAATCAAACTAATTTTAAAAACTTTATTATTAAATAACATTTAAAAAAAATAAATAATATGAACTTTTAATGATAAAATTTGTATTAAATAGATTTCTATTCATTTAATCTTTTTTTCTTTTAATAATTTTCTTTACTAGATTTGAATTTTTTTTCATATATAATTTTATTTTAATATAATCTTTATTCACAGTTACAATATTTAGCTTTAATTTTTTATAAATATAAAATATAAAATATAAAATATTATAAAATGTAAATAATAAATATTATATATAAAATAATCAAAATGTTTAATATATTAATTAAATACTTTTTAAATAATAACATTTAAGAATAATATAAATTTTATCTAAAAAATTATTTAAACAACTAATTAAATTTTGAATTCTCTTAATACAGTAGTGGTCATAAGTATCTGAATGCCTCTAACTCCGGCTACAAGTAAGAAAATTCAAAATTTTTTTTTATTTAAAAAATACATAACCAACTAACTAAATTAATATATTGTGTAGTCACCATTTGACTCTATAAGTGCAGCTGTACGCCTTTTTATGCTAGCTACTAAATTCACAGCAAGTACAGGTGATAATCAGTTTCATTCTTTTGTAAGTTCCTCTAATTAATTGAATTTTTTTTTTGTATATTAATTTTCATTAACCTCCAAACGTTTTCTATAGGATTTTGGTCTAGAGACATTGATGGCTAAGAAAATACCTCAATACTATCTTCTTCCTTCTATTTTTCGCGATTTTTGATTGATGCTTTAGATCATTATCTTCTTGCAAGATCCAATCTATGTTACTTTCACCAA